TATATATTCCTATGTAAAACTTGGGTCGGCCATTTTGGCCCTACCCTAGCTCTGGGGGTCATGATTTGAACAAACTTGAATCTACTCTACCTGAGGATGATTCCACATGAGTTTCATCTTTCCTGGCCTAGTGGTTCTGGAGAAGAAGATTTTTAAAGATTCTTCCTATATATTCGTATGTAAAACTTGGGTCGGCCATTTTGGCCCCACCATAGCCCAGGGGGTCATGATGTGAACAAACTTGACTCTACATTACCTGAGGATGATTCCACATGAGTTTCATCTTTCCTGGCCCAGTGATTCTTGAGAAGAAGATTTTTAAAGATTTTTCCTATGTAAAACTTGGGTCGGCCATTTTGGCCCCACCCAAGCCCCGGGGGTCATGATTTGAACAAACTTGAATCTACAATACTTGAGGATGATTCCACATGAGTTTCATCTTTCCTGGCCCAGTGGTTCTTAAGAAGATTTTTTTAAAAATGCCATTAATTTTTCTTTCATTCATAATTATCTCCCCTTGGAAGAGGGGGTGGCCCTTCATTTGAACAAACTTGAATCCTCTTCATCTAAGGATACTTTGTGGCAAGTTTGGTTGAAATTGGTCCAGTGGTTCTTGAGAAGAAGAATATGTGAAAAGTTTACGACAACGACGACAACAACAACAACGACGACGACGACGACGACAGACAACGGACAAATTTTGATCAGAAAAGCTCACATGAGCCTTCAGCTCAGGTAAGATAATAAAAAATAGATAACAACTAAATTAATATTCAAACAGAATTTTAATAAAGTTTTTAATAATATAATCTCTAAATAAAAGTAAATACCTGGCGCAAGGACAGAAACTCTATAAATAGACTGTCGGTAAAAAAAACTATGGTGCGCGTTTCGCGTTCTTTCAACATTCGCAAAATCAACCGTTACATTTATACCCAGGAGCAGAGAAGAAGATTTTCAAAGAAGTAATGCAATTTCACTATATAACCAACTCACAGGCCTTTTGATCGCTTAAAAAAAATTGTGTGTGTAAAAAAAAATAAAGGTACTGAACTCTTACACTGGGTACCTAATTTCGCTAATAAAATATTTTTTATTCGAATGCTCTAAAATTCTACTTTCTATTTAAATCTATTCATAGATAAACATTCTTCAATTCTACCAAAGCTCATTCCGAAATTCCATGTATTTCTTGAGATATTCTGAAATCAATTTCAAAAATGACCTACTTTCTTTTACTCGACATTAGCTTGGGCCCCTGGCCATTCACATGTAAACAGACGGTGTTTGAAGTGCGGCGAAGAGTTGCATAGTATTTGCAAAATCTTCCAACAATTTAAAGTTGATTTCTTACTCCAGATTGTAACGTTAAGTCCGTAATAATATTCCTTTCGCGAAAAATTAATTTGAAAACGTCTACATCAACAACTACCGCCATGTTGATTATGAATGTAAATGAAGCCATGGTAGAACGGATTTTTCCCGGAATGCATTATATACCTTTCGATTTTCAAAACAATTAGACCGCTAAAATGTTGTTTGTGACTTAGTTATACCATATGATCAAATTAAAGAAAAACCTTTTAAAGCTGGAATGCAAATGAGCAAATATTCATTGAGTTTAGAATAAATTTCGGGGAAAATTTGTCCCGTCGTTCCCGCTCTACAATTAGCGAAGGCCCAAGCTGATGTCGAGTAAAAAAATTATTGTCAATTTGGGAATTAATTTCAGAATATCTCGAGAAGTATAAGGAATTACGGAATGAACTTTGGTAGTAATGAAGATTGTTTATATTTGAATAGATATGGATAGAAAGTAAAATTGTAAAGCATTTGATTTAAAAGAATTTTATTGGCGAAAGTAGGTACCCCATGAAAAGAGTTCCATACCTTTATTTTTTTTTCAACACCTCAATTTTTTTCTAAGCGATCTAAAGGCCTGTGAACCAACTAACACCAGAACCCTTGACCTTGGGTCCATGAAATTAACAATTTTGGAAGAGGCAATCTTATTCAACATAATTATGTACCTACTTAGCTTATTAAATGCCCAGGATCAGAGATTTTCAAAGTAATAATGCATTTTCACTATATAACCTGTTTTGCCCTGCCCCAGCACTAGAACCTCTGACCCTGTGGCCATCAATTTCACAATTTTGGTAGAGGACTCAATGCTGATTACAGTCATACCAACAGTTTGACTGCTTGATGTCCCGGAGTAAAGAAGAAGATTTTTAAAGATGGCACTTATTTTAGTGGTTTTTGCCCCACCCCCAAGGCCCAAGTGGGGCAAGGACCATGAAATTCACAATTTTGTTCCCCTTCACCCGTAAATGCAAAATATCAAATTTGGCTGAAAACAGATAGCAATAGGTCACATGAGTTTACTAAGGTGACCTAAAACTTATTGTTTTAGAGACATTTGACGTCTTCACTTGACGACTCTCCTCATTTTCTCAGACCATAAGTGGCCACGGAGGATGACTGACTATTTCCAATGACGTGTACCGTCATATACTATTAAAAGATAAGGAAAACTTACCTTATTTAGACCTTTATTAATCCGATTATAAACACAAAATAAATAATCCATCAAAATATTCATATGGACAAACACATTTCAAAGTTGGCCTCGGGTTGCTTACTAGGTAACATCCGGGCTTTTAAGGTGGTTTCTCAGACGTCCGTGGTCTGTCGATAATTTGTCGCCCCATGGGACCGAGCTGTCATTCGTTAGGTATTAATATCAATTCTCTGTAATTATCAAAATTGGTTGGCCACGCATAGAAAAACATTTTGATTTTTTTATAATAATTTTAAACAGCTATGTCATTAATTGTAAAATCTAAAGTGGGTTTATGAAATAGACCCTTGGTTGTCATAGAAACGGGGTGCAAAATTCTTAATTTCGTTAATTTTGAAAAACGTGTACTTATCAAGAAAAACTGTGTCCAGAAATGAAAAGGGATAACTTAATATGTTGTCATTATCTAAATTTAATACTACAGATTAAAGTAATTATATCTGTAGTTTTAATTTAATTTCTCAATAGTAAATGGCCATTTTACGTAGTATAACATATCAGATATGTGATTGGTTTAGTGGAGTTTTTGGAGGCTTAAAACAAAAAAGGCACACTGATTACAAATTTACTAATAATTAATTATGAAAGGCTAATATTTGATTATATCAAAATATGTAAAATATTGGTGGGTGACTCAAAGATGTAAAAGGAATTTAAAGGTAAAGATGACTTTTTTCTACATTTTGAAGCATTTTTTGCTTCCTAATTACTTCCCTTGAACTACTCTCTAACGTTTGGAGGTACAATGTGTATTTAGTAAACAGCAATGAACATTTTCTGGCGAAAGATCTCATCAAAGTTTTACAGTCTGGAAGAAGAAAAGAAGGCTAGACATCTTAAACAATGAAGACAGAAGGTAAATTTATGTATATACTGAGCATTACAAAAATATCAAGATTAACAAATGCATATTTTCTTAATTTTATTTGCCTAATTGCCTTTCAATACACAGTTGTTTTACCGGTAGTGGTCAGTGATCCTTATCAAATCAAGCGAACTATACCTTTTGACAGTTTGACTTTCTGACCAATGAATTAATTATTTTTATTAATAAAAATGAATTTGAAGCATATAAACATCACTTGCTGATACAGCTGAACCCCCCCCCCCCCGAAATATAAATGTCTATATAGAGATTGTACATGTGAAAAATCTGTGCCATTCAGGAGGTTTACTTTTTATGATGTGCTGAGAGAGACTTTTAAGTAAACATTATTTATCTTTATAAAATAAATTTCCACTTCTGTCAGTTTTCATTCATTGTTTATCCTATTATTTCAATTCTTTATTGGCATTAGGCACATATTTTACAGAATTGTGTTGTTTAAATATTAACTAGAGCAAGTTTAATTTGTTTCTATAAAAAAAGTGCATCAAACGTTTATAATGTGTGAGCACAAGCATAAAGTAGATAAGATTTCTAAATAGTATTCTATATATATCAGTGTGTGATGTTCATAAGCAGAAAATAGGAAAACAGCATGTTTGTTTTGATGTCATTGTTTTATTTAAAAGCTTCTATCTTTTAAACTTTAAATTTATTATATATATCCAAAACTGTACTATATGTAATGACAAAATAGATCTAGGTTAAGAATGCACTGGAAATATTGAGTTATTCTTGTTTACATAGACTCTTTCATTCATCTGTGAAGTACCGGTACTGTATAATCTATAGTTCAATTTTGTGTGAATAATAATTATCTTTTCAAATAGCAAACAGTAAAAATATATATATGTACACTTGTTCATATGTATAAGTGTTAAAACAAAATTTAACTAAAGGTACTGTGAGCATTGAGCTCACTAGATGATACCCCCTGCCTCCCATATGGTTATAACTGATGACAAATCCATGTTTTACTGTGGCCGGGAAACCAAAAATATGTGTCGAATCAAAAAGTAAAATAGGAGGTGCACAATGACAATATGTAATAAAGATTCTGTGAAAGGTTCATTAAATTTCACTCATTGCAGTGGTATAAGAGGAGTTGTGGATAATAAGAGATGGGTACCCTAAAGCGTAACAGACAGACAGATGGACGTACAGTTAGACGGACATACCGGTTACAGTATACCCTACCACTTTTCAAGCAGAGGGTATAATAAAACTATATACATGTACATGTAGAATATTCACCTCTGATTTATAATGATATTTGTTTTGTACACACTGACCATGTTTTATAATATTCTAAACAAATTAATTGATACTCAGGCAAATATTCACTACTGGTAAGATGATCACACACATGAACATGTCTGTGTATGAATGAAATAAATTTTCCTTTTGATCATGTTCCTAGGAAAATAATTATTTTCATCATTTTTTCATCAAAGGATTTACCATATAAGATGAATAAAGAAAAAGTAAGACCAGTAAACCAAAACAGGACCAAATAGGCCATGACTGTTTGTTCAAGTGCATTCTGCAAGAAAACGGACAGCCTAGATTTTGTTCTTTTCAAGGTAACCATTCTTAAAATATGAAAGTACATTAAGGACAGATGATACAAACAAAAATGGATGCCTGGATTGGTATATATTTTTTGGCATAATTTAATTGCAAATTAATGATGTATTAATAAATTTCTAGAATATTAAGAAATTGTAAACCTTCTGTGATGTTCAAAAGTCTGCCCTCTTGAAACTATCCTTATTAATCTATACAAATATTTTTCACTTCAAATTCCATTTTTATGCAAATATGAATTAAAAAGTACTTGTCGTGAGGAAAGTTATTAATTTTACTGATTTAAACATGACTCAAGTTGTTATTTTCAAATTCTTTGACAAAAGTTTGTTTGTATCATCTGTCCTTAAATTGTTAAAAAATATTTCAGTTTTATATCTAAATTTAAACCTTGCTTATTTCTTTTTTTTTAAACAAAATTTAATACCTGTCCAGTAACAGAAGAATTATTATACTAGAATAAAGAAAACAACTTTCTAAAGGATTACATACACATTTAATTAGCTTGAAATCAGTGTACTAGTATATTGGAAAGTGCAGGAATTATTTACCATTGCAGGTTGAGAAGGGATGCCATATTTTAGGTTTGAAACCAGGCAAGTGAAAGCTGAATTCCAACCTACTTCAACATACTTGTACCCACTGTCTTCAAGATATCAGTGTTTGAGATGTCAAAGTTCAAATATAATAGGAACATGTTTATTATATTATGTGATGGCATCCTCAAATCTTATGTTGTATAACAATATGTTTTAGAACTTATCAAGCTTTATCCTGTACCTTGCCAAAAAAAACTCAACTCAGCATAATTCTCATTAACTAATTATCAGTGTTACTTGCATATGTCAATGTAGGTCATTACTGGTACATGCCTTACCAATTAAAACTCTAAAATTGAAAAATCAGAGTCAAGATTTTCAGAGCAGCAGAAACAGTAGAATTTGTCACGTAAATCTAATGATATGTACCGTAGTTGAGAATACATGTACTCTAAATGTTGCATATATAAAAAATAAAAAAGCAAAAAGTTCTCTTGTTTTCAGAATTTATATTTACATGTGAAAAAAAAGAAAAGGAGGTTGATATAGTTGGTGTGATGAGATGTTGGCAGGAACCTAGTAAAATGAAAGGAAGAACTTCCTTAAAATGATACTTGTGGGGGACAGTGTCTCATGGGGGGCATTGTTTCAACTGACTTTACAGAATACAAAAGATCCATTGCAAACCTAATTATTAATTATATGCCAAACACTATGTTTAAAGTTTTCCATTGTTGGATATTTATGTTTAAATCCAAGATAACTTACCCAAGAGGATGTGATTTTTTTTAAACCAATGTAATTTTTCTCAAGTTTAAAGCAGTGTTTCATAAGTTTTAATGAAAAAATCAGAAGGGGGGGGGGGTAAATTTTTGACTTCATTCAAAGTATCTGTGGTTTGCAGTTGCCCATGAATTTAATAAATAATTATACAAAGTAACAAGTTGAAATGAGTAAAAAATTATGAATGTCCTGCTTGTTTTAGTTTCATTTCAGAATTTTTCAAGTTTGACCAAATCTTGAAAAAGTAAAAGCCACAAGGTTTTGCAATTATTTGACATAGCATAACGAAATGCATTATATTTTTGCAACATCATAAAGATGCAAATTTAAGATGCCAAAAAATTTAGTTCACATTTACATTTAACTCATTACACATGTTTTATAAAAGAGTAAATAAGTGTAGTTTTGGGAATATTGTTATGTTAAACGCAGCCATTTTGGTTAAAAATCTGGTATTCCTGTCTCCATGGTAACAAATCTTGCATTCCTGTTTCCATAGTAATAGAGAATGGATAGGGAAAATTTTATTTCATATTAGTTTCAATCTAAGGAGATAGTTTCAGGAAACTTGAAACATGCCCTGGTTAATCTACATGTACTTCAAAATTGTCAATTTTACGGAAGGGGGGGGGGGCATTTTGTGCAGGTGTTCACAGTTCTCCTATCTAAGAACATATTTACATGTATTAATGCTCTTGGAAATGGGATGTGAATATTTTTACATGACACGTCTCCTAGGTATGGACTAATTTTACTGTAAATGACATCAAAACAGGTAGAAAGGAACATTTCTTTTCTATATGAACTTAATGAAATGTGCATATGTTCCTTGAAATACGGAAATTTTGCAGATTTTGGGTAATTTTTCATCAGCTTTTAAAAAAAAAAAAAAATTAAGTCTCCCATAAATATTTTAATGTGTTTAAACTAACTTATGTACCATCTATACAATGCACTGTTTCCTGAATTTCAAATCAGTGTGCAAAGTATTAAAAAATCGCTTTGAAAAAGGGTCTAAAATGGCAATTTTCTCAATTTGGCAAAATGCCAAAATCCCCAAAGCTAAGCGTTGTTAAGCCATTATGTAGAATTACAGTTTTTAAAAAAATTATGTTGTTATACTAGAGAGGAATAATGGTAGTTTTGAAACAAAAGTAGATTTTCCCATTCTCTTGTTTCTTTTAAGCTCATTTTTATTCAGTAAAACCTACAAAATCACGTTTTTTGGTCAATTTTTAGGAAGAATTTACAGGGGAAACAATAGGTGCCGTTACCATGGCAACGAGACATTTTTTGAAATAAAAAACTATAAAACCATTAATGATATGACAATGTGAGTACACACAAAAAGTTTCATAGAAATTGAAAATGTAGCGTGGCCAAGCATTTTTGATATTGTTTGATAATTACAGAGAATTGATATTAAATCTGTTTAGATAGCTGCTGAGGAATCCAACCAAGAATTCTTCGAAGAATTTTTCATGGTTCCAGGCAATGAACTTTGAAATCATATTGCAGGTCAGGAAGATGGACACAGGAACATAGGGAGGGGGAGGAAGAACACAATGGGCTACATCCAGGAGGGCGCTACCATTGTACCATCTCCACCTGCGAGTTCAGCACCGGAGTCAAGAAAGTTTGAATTGGGAGACAGCCCATCCAGAGATACAGGAGCCTTCAGCACTACAACACCCGCAGGACATACTTTATTTATGCGGAGTCGTCCTCAGGTGGGGCATACGGGTAGACGTCACCATTTCATTTTGTGTAGTCTGCTTGTGTGATGACGACATATTGCAAAATGTGTTTTTGTTTGACGAGGAAACGAATTCTGTGGACAATGTGAGCAGCGGGTTGTCTGCTACTTCTGCACCGCCCGTACAGTGGATAGGGGAGAGGGCTGTCCCTTCTGTGGATACAACCAGCCAGCCTCAAGACAGCAGACAACCAGGCGAGGCAGACGATGAACCCTTTAAAAGAGTAAACAGATCAGTGAAAATGTTAATAATAAATTTTCACTATTTAATCAATAGAGCCCCGACTTAGCACCCGAACCCTTGGGCTGTAAAATTCTGAATTCTGGAGGAGACATTCTTGATCAAGAATTGTTAGTTTACGTTATGCCCAAGAGCAGAGAAGATTTTCAAAGAAATATTGAATTTCCGTTATGAAATGTATATAGCCCTGCCTTAGACTTATATAATGTTTTTAAGGGACTCAATGCCCATTACATTCATACTTACAGTTTGAATGCTTGGTGTACAGGAATAATGAAGATTTTAAAGACTGCATTAAATTACGTGGTTTTGGCCCCACTCCACAGGGGACAGCTTGGTAGCATAGTCTCCTCCCACTAAGTGAAATGATCCTCTGATTATTGATTATAGATGTCTACTAAATGATACCCTAGCCTATCGGGTACATTGCTTGACATTATCCTATATTTGATTAATATGACAAATAAACTTATTTTTCAGTATGGAAAGGCAAACGTACTATAAACACCAGACTAAAGCGGAATCCCATCCAGGAAAATATATATGTCCATGATAATAGATGGGATGGATCAGAACAAGACGCAAATACCCCACTTTATGCATGCCAGTAAATTTACAGTGCTTGACATTATCCCAAATGCGATTATCATGACAGATTAAACCGGAAGTCTCTGTCGAGACTGAAGCTCTACTGGTTTGTACTTATAGCAAAGGAAGAGAAAAGTACTTAAGCAGTTGGAAATTGAAACTTTTCAACAGCAATAAATATAATAATGATCCTTGACTAAGTCTCATCATGTTCTTAATGTAGTCTACTTGCATGCCACATTTATTAGCCGGGCTTATTGCTCAAAGAGCAATTGCCGGCTTATGTGATCCTGTTCAAGGCAGGATGTTGACCCCATAGTCGCCATTTTAAAGTTACGTGCAAAAATATAGTTCTTACTCTCAACCGCTTTTGAGATAATACAAACGCTAAATAAAGCAACAAAAATAAAACGAAGTTTTATTTATATAAAATAAACATTAGTATTAATGACTTTGAAAACTTCATAAGTCAAAGAACATATTTCATTAGCGTAAGGATTTTTGATAATCAGTGTTACCGTAGTTTTCTACACATACGAGGTGAAGCAGGAGAGGGAACCAGACTGGCCCGTCTTTTTTACATTCAGCTGCGGTACCATATTAATTCTGATTCTGACAAAATCGGACCGTGGTATTAGGATTGAAAAACTCACTGTCAATGTCTTATCATTTATATTGATAGTTTAAAAAAAAAATTCACCAGAATATAAACGTGATTCATGTAAGAAATCCATTCTACTCTGTAAATGAGCCCGGCTGTCTGTACTTCCGAGTACTTTGATATTATAATCAGACTAAAATTGTATTTGGAGTAGCATTTTGAAAGAATTTCACAGAAATGTCTACTTTTAGTAACCACGGCAACACCGTTCATCGAAATCAAAAACCAATACACAGAATGATGTATCTTATTGTAGTCTACTTGTGTGCCAAGTTACATTGAAATCAGACTAAAACTGTAGAAGGAGTAGCATTTTGAAAGAATTTCACAGAAATTTCTATTTTTAGTAACCACGGCAACACCGTTCATCGAAATCAAAAACCGATACATAGAATTATGCATCTTATTGTAGTCTACTTGTGTGCGAAGTTATATTGAAATCAGACTAATACTGTAGAAGGAGTAGCATTTTGAAAGAATTTCACAGAAATTTCTATTTTTAGTAACCACGGCAACACCGTTCATCGAAATCAAAAACCGATACACAGAATTGTGTATCTTAGTGTAGTCTACTTGTATGCCAAGTTATATTGAAATCAGACTAAAACTGTAGGAGGAGTAGCATTTTGAAAGAATTTCACAGAAATTTCTATTCTAAGTAACCACGGCAACACTGTTCATCAAAATCAAAAACCGATATACAGAAGTATGTATCTTAGTGTAGTCTACTTGTGTGCCAAGTTATATTGAAATCAGACCAAAACTGTAGGAGTAGTAGCATTTTGAAAAATTGTTTACAGACAGACAGACGGACGGACGACGGACGCATTACTATCGCATAAGCTCTTCTGGTCTCTGACCAGTAGAGCTAAAAATGACAATTTTATTTTTCAGTATGGAAAGGCAAAAGTATTACAAACATCAGTCCAAGGCGAAATCCCACCCAGACAAATATATATCCATTATTATAGATGGGATGGAAAAGAACAAGACGCAAATACCCAACTGTGTGCATGCCAGTAAATTTACCTCCGGCATGTGGAAGTTGCGTGTGCACTTAGTTGATTTTATATTACATGAGATTGGTGTCAAGTACAGCTTTTTCGATCTTTTCGAATACAGCCACTCAACTAATCTGACATCTGTTTTTATGAGTACGTTAATAGAATCTCTGCCTCATGTGCTGTATTTGCAAATGGATAATAGTGCAATGGGAAAAAGTACATGTATATATTTGATACAAATGAAATATGAATTATTAATCAGTAATAAACATTTATATGTTGGCAACTCTTAATTTTTAAGCAAGTCTCTGATAAATGTAGTTAATTTAGCTTAATTACTGAGAGTACTTAAATGATTTATTCACAATCGTTCATTAAATTTCATCGTATTGACGTAATTTCTAGAAAAAAATTAATCATTACCTTATCTTTAACTGATATGTATAGGCAGTTATGACACCCCCGGTAGAATAGGAAAAATCATTTTTAATGGTCAGTCACACCCATGAGGATTAACATCAGGTTTTCTCCAAGTTAGGGCTCGCTCAAAACTAATAAGTAAATGTTCATTGAAATAATGCATTGCTCTTTTATAAGTTCAATGACTGGCTAAGTCGTCAGTCATTCGGCGGCGACTCTGGAGAAACAGGATTTGAGAAATGTTTCACCCCCAACCCGACCAGGCCTGGAGACCATAAACTGAGAACAGACTTAAGTCAAAATTATAACTTTTAATATCTTAGAGTTCTGCTTGACGTATTTGCTTAAAAATTTGCAATTTCCTATAACACATAAATTCAAATATTTGGTATAAATTTTGTCTCATTATCAAAATTATTTAAAAAGTTACACTGGTTTTAAACTTTAACTTAAGTCAGTTCCCAAGTTATGGTCTTGGGGCCAGTATTGGGACAACCGATGTTTCCAACATCACCGACTGGCCCCTACCACACAAATGCCATCAAGAACTAATCTAGGCCGCCTATCTTCAAGATGTCGGCAAACGTGTCTGGGAAAGCTAATCTAGTGTGGAAAGAGTGGTCAACTGATAAGGTGAATAAACACTTTCAAAGGTTTTACTACTTCATATGTTTTTGATTACCTGAACCCTATCAGTTATATCAATATAGTTTCCCTCTTTCATTTGTTTTCGGAGAAAACAACAACTGAACACGAGGCCAATGGGGCACATTGCTAAAAGTAATGTGGTAAGGAAAAAGCAAAATTCAATTCAATAATAAAATAAAGTTTAACTAGAAATTTGTTGCGAGCACGGAGATGTCTTGGGAACACATATTCATATACATGTCAGATTTACGCAAGTAAAATTGACACTTATTTTATTGTTTTTGCAGACAGAGTATTTATAATTCGAATCACCAAAGGATACTCTGTGCCACGTTTGATTGAAATTGGTCCTATGGTTCTGGAGCAAATGTGATCAGAAGAGCCCAGTTGAGCCATCAGCTCCGGTGATCTTAAACATTTATACATTTTTAAAAATTATTATCATGATTATCTGTTTTGCCTTAAATGTTAAAACTTTGTTGTATTAAAGTTTATTTACATGTTTTATAAATGGAATGAAACAACCGATTATATACTCAAGACTAAGGTTGACGGAATTCCCGGTGTAATTGAGCCACCTTTCAGATAGGTCAATGAAAATATAAGGCTCATTATATAAATTGCATTCTAGAAGAACTTGGATTTAATTCTACAAGTGGTAATCCTACTTATACATATACGTCTCTTTCTAAGGAAGAAATTCTTCAAAATCACCTTTCAGTTTTGGATACTTTTAATATTCCACAGAGCCAAAATGAATTTGAACTACCTTATATATATTGGATTCCGAAACTTCATAAGAATCCTTACAAACAAAGATACATTGCAGGTTCCAGTAAATGTTCAACCAAGCCTCTTTCGTTACTTCTCACTAAAATATTGACAGTAGTGAAGGAAAAACTTCAAGAGTACTGTACAACTATATATTCAAGAAGTGGTGTAAATCAGATGTGGATACTTAAAAATTCTAAAGAACTTTTGGACAATTTGATATCACAAGACTTTACAAAAATCAACAGCATAAAAACTTACGACTTTTCAACTTTATACACAATAATTCCCCACGACAAATTAAAATCCAGCTTTTTGATAGCATTGACAGCTGCTTCTTCAACAAAAATGGAACTCGTAAGTTTACTTACCTCGTCATTGGTCATTTGAAGAATTATTTTGTTAAAACAGATTCTGATTGCACACACAAGTACTCTGAAGTTGACATCAAGAAGATGCTCGAGTTTCTGATTGACAATATCTATGTGGTTTTTGGAGACCATGTATTCCAACAATCTATTGGAATTCCCATGGGTACAAATTGCGCTCCGTTATTAGCAGACTTATTTTTATATTCATATGAAGCAGAATTTATGCAAAATCTTTTGCGTGAAAAGAAGAAAACACTTGCTGTGGCCTTCAACTCGACATTTAGATATATCGACGACGTATTGTCAATTAATAATGATAATTTCCATTCCTACGTCGACTTGATTTATCCTGGTGAGCTTGAGATAAAAGATACCACAGAGTCCGACACTTCTGCTTCATACTTGGATATTTTACTTGAAAAAGACACTAATGGTAATCTAACAACCAAGCTATATGATAAACGTGATGACTTTAACTTTTCTATCGTCAACTTCCCTTACTTATGCAGCAATATACCTTCATCACCTGCATACGGAGTATTTATATCTCAGTTGATTCGATACGCAAGAGCATGCTCTACGTATGAACAATTTCTTAAACGAGGTAAGTTCTTGACAAGCAAGTTGATGAAACAAGAATATCAACAGTCTCGTTTAAAGTCATCATTTCGTAAATTCTATGGTCGATACAATGACCTTGTCAGCAAATACAATTTATCATTGAATAAAATGCTGACTGGCGTTTTTCATACCAATTGTTAGTCCATTATTTATACACTGAATTGACCACGGATTTTTCCCGTTATTTCCTGATTATGACAACGAGCACACGGCGGGTGTGACCGGTCGGCAGGGGATGCTCACTCCTCCATGGCACCTGATCCCACCTCTGATGTTTCGGAGGTCCGTGTTTGCTCTGCTCTTATTTTGTATATTTGTTTAATGGACGTTGAGATTGAATACTGTTCGTTATTTCCATATCCTTCCATAGACAAGCTCGAGAGTGATGTTCGATCTAGCTTGATATTTTACGAAGGAGAAAGATACATCTAGGTAGAACTTCTTTTTCTACCATTACGAAATATTAATCGACATGAAAGTTCTTTAGAATCAAAAAGTTTACTTTTTAAAATTTATAGTTTTTGAAAAATTGTATTCCAAGATACTAATTCATGGTGAGCCATGCAAGACCTCATTGAAGAAAAAGTTGATGTTGAAATGCATTAAACAGTATAGGATTATTCATTTTGAGGTACAGATTGATCCTTAACAGTATGTCACAGTTGATGTATTTCATAAGTCAATCATTTCCTAATCATTACAGCTACTACGCAAGGGTGCATACAGAATGTTGTTCTTTTGGTAAATAAGTGACGTATGATAACGTCACTCTAAGCGAGATGACGTCAATATTAGAACACACCATTTCGTAATATTGGTTTTAGAGCTGTTTTTAAAGACTTGCAGCTTGGAGCATAGGGGCTTGTCTTCCGGATTGATAAATGTAAAATAATTTTTTCAAAAATTTGTATCTACATTAAATACACTCTAAAAATTGCTTTAATAAAGATTCTGACATGATCAGGCGAAAAAAATAATGTTTTAAAAAAAGCACTACACCTATATACATAAACTCTCAAAGGGACGCAAGCTGACATATTGGAAAAAATACCCCCTCCCACTTCAGCACCTATTTCTGGACTCTAAGGCATTAATTTATTTAGTTGCCACAGTTCTCTTCCCTACAGTGATGATTTTCCTAAATGTTGATGCGGTTTTCATTCGTGGACACGCGTTTAATCAACAGAAAACGGTTACAATTTCTTCGACTTGAAGCTCATCTCGCTGAATCGACCTCAAAAGAACGGAAGTTGACAAGGTTGCATGGTAACGACGCAAGGGCAATAATCGTGGTATAGCCTATAGCGTGCTTTTAGAGTAAGTGTCCTGTAAATTATGTAACAAATCACTTATATATTAAATCATTCTTGACAATTTAGCCTGTGGAACCAAACTTTAGCCGGTATTTATCAGTTTTTACTGTCCTTTTCTTGTCGGTTAACATTTTTTCCGCGAAGCTGGGAGTCCTTTGGTGTTACCATTTGCTTTCGATTACCCTCTGAGTTTTCCGTATAAAAAGTCAACTTCCGTTCTTTTGAGGTTGATTCAGCGAGATGAGCTTCAAGTCGAAGAAATTGTAACCGTTTTCTGTTGATTAAACGCGTGTCCACGAATGACAACCGCATCAGCATGATTTAGGAAAATCATCACTGTAGGGAAGAGAACTGTGGCAACTAAATAAATCAATGCCTTAGAGTCCAGAAATAGGTGCTGAAGTGGGAGGGGGTATTTTTTCTAAGATGTCAGCTTGCGTCCCTTTGAGAGTTTATGTATATATAGATGTAGTACTTTTTTAAAACATTATTTTTAACGCCTGATCATGTCAGAATCTTTATTAAAGCAATTTTTAGAGTGTATTTAATGTAGATACAAATTTTTGAAAAATTATTTTACATTTATCAATCCGGAAGACAAGCCCCGATGGCTTGGAGTCTTTTAAGAACCTCATTCAACTGTTTAAAATGATCTTCCATATTCTGGCTAAAGATAATGATGTCATCAAGATATATGAATAGGTGTTTCCACTGCATTCCTCTGAAGATTAATTCCATGCATCTTTGGAAAGTACTTGGTGAAGAAAATAGACCAAAAGGCATCTTTGTATATTCAAAGAGTCCGTATTTACTTATAAAAGCTTATTTTTCTCTGTCTTTTTCCTCCAGGACAATCTGCCAATATCCACTTTGTAGGTCCATTGTAGAAAAGGTTGATGCACCTGCTAGACAATCTAGACACATGTCAATACGTGGTAGAGGATAGGCATCTTTACGGGTGCAGTCATTATCGGCCGCAGCAGCGGCCGATCTATTTGTGGTTGTGTTAGAAAGTGAACATGGGGAAATGAGACGTTATTTTTCATTAGTTCAGTAAAATAATTCTTGATTGATAAAAAGTAAAAATCATGTGTAAAATATTTTTAAAAAATTTGCTTTAATATTAGCATTAATTGTTGTTATTATATTTTAATTTCATTATCATTTCTCGTCAGAAAATTGATAATTTATGGTTATATAACAAGAGTGTACAATAGATACTCCCCCGTCTGGGAGTGTGTAAGATATGAAAGGAAATCGCCATGATTTTCCGGAAATGTTGACGTGATATAAGTGCATGGTGAATATTCAACTCAGTAAAAATATTGTTTTGGATATGCTCTAGAAAAGCTGCAAATGATGCAAAGATTTTTCCAGGTATATTTTGCACCGCGGCTTGCAGCAGAGCCTACTCTGCATAAGCCATGGGCATTATCACGTGACAAAGATCCAGGGTATCAGCACGTGGTTTATCTTGAGAGGGCTACATCATCATTTTCAATAAATTCTCATCATTCATCATTGACTTTTTTTTAAGTCGATGGAACAATTTATGAGCAAATGCGGTAAATTGTCTATTTATTAATTAAAAAAAATACTTTGCTTTGAAGATAGGCTGAAAAAAAATTCAACCATTTCTCCTTTGAATATCTTGACGTGCTTTCTTTGCATGTGAAAGAAATTTTTTTTACTGCTAAATTTTGTTTGCGGCCGATTTGATGCTTTGCATCAATTTAACTTGTTGAGTTTTGTGTAGTCAATGCACCAACGGACTGTTCCATCTTTTTTGCGAAAAAATACCACTGGTGAGGCCCAAGCAGATTTGGAAGGTTTAATAATTCCATTGCGTAGCTGTTCTTTTAAGTAGGTTTCTTCCTCTGCCTCAAATCCTTGAGAAGTCCTTCTAACTGGTTGTCTGGTGGGAGCTGATCCTGCCGTAATATCTTATGAGTGATGACAGAACAGGTACCAACATTAGTTTTGTTTTGAGCAAATGCATCCTTGTTAGTTAACAGTATCTGTGCCAGTTTGATCTTGTCTTCACTGCAATGGATTTTTCCCACAACTTTTTTCATACAAGTCTTTCAAATACTCGGGCAGCTGAGGAACATCGGCCTTGCTCCGCAGCAACCGTAGTACTGTATTTCCCGTATCATTCCAGTCAGTTGGGATTCTTGGGTGTTCACTATTGCCATCCACTGCCTGCTCATGCGATTTATTGCACTTATGCTTAACCATATCTGGCGTTAAGGGGTATCCAGAAGAATCTTGGATCTCTGTACATTCTTGAACTGGATGCAATTCTCCTAAAGTTGATATTTCTTCAGTTTAATAGGAAATATGGAGGTGTAAACACCTCTCACTGGAATCTTTGGCCTGAAAGGGTTGACTAGACAGCGGCCCACAAATACCTCTTGTTAATCTCCAAACACTGGTTGTATTGCAGAAAAACAGGCTTCAATCAACTCAGGATTTTCACTTTTTCCAATTACCAATGCCTCAGAAGAAGGGGTATGGTAATGGTCTCATCAACATGTAACCTTCAAACTTGATCCTGTTTGCGATCCACGTAACATTCCACCCACAAGCTTATGAGAAGAAGAACCGTCATTAACCAATTAACAGATCACATAGGAGTCGCTGAAGGGGTGGGATCAATTTCCCGTCGAGTGTGAAAAGGTGATTATTACAAGCAATGACGACCGCCCCATCGAGGAAGAATGAGAACATGGTTTTGAGAGACGCTTTCTTATCATAAACATGAACTTGGAAATGTTGAGATCAGCTGTTGTTCCTGATGTTTTACCTGATTTGTTGAATACTGATGCTGTGCCTGATTTCATTGAACAAAGAAATTCAATGTTTTTAAAAATTCCGAGTTCAAGTCAGAAATAAAGATGCATTAGGTGATGGAAAAAGAATTAGGAAAGGGGGATCATAAACTGATAAAAAAAAATACAAGTCATTCTTATGAAAACAAGAGGCCCACGGGCCTTATAGGTCACCTGAGTATCATATTACAACTTTCAAACAATGGAATTTGATTTGTGTTTTAAACCAGAGGCCATGAAATTCACAATTTTGAAAGAGGCACTGTTGCTTATCATAATTATACACTACGCATGCTTACTCTAGTTACTTAATAGTTAATACCCAGAGGTAGATCAGAGTAACAAAGAAAAAAATGCATTTCCACTTTGTAACCAGTTGTCCAAGACCCAACAGGAAGCACAAATATCAAAATTGTGGAATTTTTATTTCACATCAGATATGAATTGTTAATACCAAAGAGCAGATTTGAATGCATTAATTAATTTTCAAACTATGTAACCCCCAACCCCCGCCCCGATACCTCTGACCCAGGGGGCATGAAATTAACCATTTTGCTAGATGCAGCTTTCGCCATCATAAATATACATACCCCGGTACTTAGATCATTGGCATAATACCAAGGAGCAAAGAAAAATATTTTCAAAGAATTCATGCGTTTTCACTATATGATCAATAGAACCCCACCCTTACTCAAGAACATCTGACCCAGGGGCCATGAAATTGACAATTTTGGAAGAGGCATTCTTCCTAATCATAACTATGTTCATAGTTCATTGGTTTAATACCCAAGAGCAGTGAAGATGATTTCCAAATAATCAATGTATTTGTACTATATAATCAATAGAGCCCCACCCTAACACCAAAACCCACGATCCAAAGGCCATAAAATTCACAATTTTAGATGAGGCTGGCACTCTTGGTCACCAGAACTATGTACTTAATTATTTTGTTAAAACCCAGGAGCAGAGGAAAAGATTTTCACCATATAATCAATAGAGCCCCACCCTAACACCAGAACCCCTGAACCAGGGGCCATGAAATTCACAATCAATTTTGAAAGAGGTACTCTTGGTCATCATAACTATGTACTTTATTATATTTTGTTTAATACCCAGGAGCAGAGGAGAAGATTTTCAAAGAATTAATACAATTTCACTACATAATCAACAGAACCACGCCCTTACACTAGAACCCTGACCCTGGGGCCATGAAATTCACAATCAATTTTGAAAGAGGTACTCTTGGTCATCATAACTATGTACTTTATTATATTTTGTTTAATACCCAGGAGCAGAGGAGAAGATTTTCAAAGAATTAATACAATTTCACTACATAATCAACAGAACCACGCCCTTACACTAGAACCCCTGACCCTGGGGCCATAAAATTCACAAATTTAGAAGAGGCACTCTTGGTCATCATAACTATGTACTTAGTTTATTTAATATCCAGGAGCAGAGAAGAAGATATTCAAAGAAATAATGCATTTTCACTATATAATCAATAGAGCCCCGCCCTAACACCAGAACCTCTGACCCTGGGGCCATAAAATTCACAATTTTGGAAGAGGCACTCTTGCTCATCATAACTATTTACTTAGTTGGTTTATTTAACACCCAAAAGCAAAGAAGATTTTTAAGAATAAATGCATTTTCACTATATAATCAATAGAGCCCCACCCTAACACCAGAACCCCTGACCCTGGGGCCATGAAATTCACAATTTTTGAAGAGGCACTCTTGGTCATCATAACTTTGTCCTTGGTTAGTTTGTTTTATACCCAGGAGCAGAGGAGAAGATTTTCAAAGAAATAATGAACTTTTACTATACAATCTATATACCCCCCCCCCCCCTAACACCAGAACCCCTGACCCTGGGGCCATGAATTTCACAATTTTTGTAGAGGACTTAATGATGATTACAATCATGTCAACAGTTTGACTGTTTGATGTCCAGGTGTAAAGAAGAAAATTTTTAAAGATTGCACTAATTTTCGTGGTTTTGGCCCCTTCCCTCAGGCCCCAGGGGGGGGGGGGGCAGGGACCATGAAATTCATAATTTATGTTCCCCTTCACCCATAAAAGCTGTAAACCAAATTTGGTTGAAATTGGTTCAGTGGTTCCAGAGAAGAAGCTAAAAATGTTCAGAAGTTTACGGACGACGAACGACGACGGACGAAAACAGATAGCAATAGGTCACCTGAGTTTACTCAGGTGACCTAAAAAGTGTCAATTGTTGCCTCATCCTCAAAATTGTGGATTTCATCGGAGTAAAAGAGTGCATAGAATTTTTTGACTGTAAACATTGTTACAAACATTGAACTTTTAAAATTGGCTTTTCCAAGTGCATTGTTACATTAATTTTTCTTTGTAAAGTTTTCTGCTGAATGAAGATGAATAAAAAACAAGATGTGTTTGTAAAACACTGATACCCCCGTATGGCAACATAGCAAAGATTAAGCTTTTCTAAAATGCAAATTTAATTAATTGGTACCAAAAGTAGGGTATTCTCACTGGAAAACAATTGTGAACTTTGAAAGTAAGCTAATGTGAAAATTTTTTAATAATTACAAAAATCTCAAAGGTCAAGGTCAAAAGGTCCATGTAATTAGTATCAAATGAAAGGTCTTGCCACATAAAATACTATTGTAAAGCATGAAAGCCCTAGCCCTAACCGTTTAGAAGTTATGGTCAACCTTCAATTTCTTAAAAAGTAAGTCAAACTCCAAGGTCAATTGTTCAAAGTTATTGTTATCAAATGAAAGGTCTTGTCATAATGATCAAATATTTAAAGTATGAAAGCACTAGCCCTGACTCTTTGAAAGTTATGGTCAAGGTTTGCTTTTTTAAAGTAGGTCAATTTCAAGGTCAAGATCAAAGGGTCAACGTTTTTGGTATCCAATAAAAGGTCTTCTCACAAGGATTACTTGAATGAAGTATGAAAGCCCCATCCTTGACTGTACAAAAGTTATGGCCAAGGTTATAGTTTTTTCACAAGTATGCAAATCTACAAGGTCAAGGTCAAAGTTGTTGGTATCCAGTGAAAGGTCTTTTAACAAACATTAAATATATGAAGTATAAATGTCCTGGTGTCTACTGTTCAAAAGATATGGCCAAAGTAAAATTTTAAAATTTTCATGTAAAAGTGGGTCAAACTCCAAGGTCAAAAGGTCAAGTTTGGTGGTACCCAAAGAAAGTTGTTGTCACAAGGAATACATATATGAAATATGAAAGTCATAGCTCCACTAAATCAAAAGTTATGGGCAAGGTTAAAGTTTTTGCGGACAAACAGACAGAGAGACAGACAGACAGGCACGACAAAACTATGTGCCCCCAAAACTTCGTTTACGAGGGCATAAAAATAATAAAAATAAAACAAAGCAAAAAATTATCCAGTACAATCATGTTTATTAAAGTCGTGTTAGCATGGCTATTACAATGGCAGACTAGTGCTAATTGTAACGGGAACCGTTACAGATGTTCCCCAAACGCTCCCCAACTCCCTTTCGTTGCCATATTCCCTGTAAGCTTCATTAAATTAGACAAACTCTGTGCATATTTGACTTTCACAACGTTTTCCCAGAAGGATACCAATTATATTCAATTTTTAGCATTGCACCCAAGCGCATGTGAATGCATGTGTGTTATGACCATATCATCTTGTCTACACTATTTATATATTTTAATATACTATATATTAAGGCATTCAGTCCAAAAGTAATAAAAATCACTCATTCAAGAGTATTTTTAAATATACTCGTTTCAAATGCACGCACGTGCGTGCACGTGCATGATGATCATACCTTCTTGTAGGAGTCTCTTACAGCTATCTATGTTCTAAATCCCATCCTGTTTGGTTGAAAAACAAGGGAGTTATAGCCATTTAAAGTTTCAGCCAATCAGATTGAAGCACACGTGCATGCGGGTGATTTCAGAATTTTTTCCCGATATCATTTCGTAGGATATCCTAATGCATGACTAAATTTTAAATTTCAAAGAATTTCGTCAAAAAACTAAGGAGAAATAGCCATTTAAAGTTTCAGCCAATCAGATTGCAGCACACGTGCATGCGCGTGATTTCATGATTTTTTTTCTATGTCATTTTGTAGGATATCCTAATGCATGACTACATTTTAAATTTCAAAGAATTTCGTCAAAAAACAAAAGAGATATTGCCATTTAAAGTTTCAGCCAATCAGCTTGCAGCACGCGCACATGCGCATGCTTTCATGAAAATTCTTATATATCATGCGGTAGATCTTCATAATGTAGGACTATGTTCAAAATTTCAAAGGATTATGACAAGAAACAAGAAAGTTATTGAGACTTTAGTTTCAGCCAATCAGAGCGAAGCGCACGTGCATGCGCGTGAGATCTTGCTATTTTGACCATGCTTTCTTGTCTGTACTACTAATGTATCCTTAAATTATGAGTTTCAAAAAGTTTCATCAAAAAATAGAAATGTTACGGCAATATCCATTATATTGGCAATTTCACCTATTGCACGTGCGCGCTCTTGCAAGCACGTGCGCGCAAAATGACCTTTGTTTGGCAACTCTACATAACATGCCTACTAACCCTAAAAAGGTTTCACCTAAGTCGGATGTGTAGTTTACAAGATCACTCGTGGACAAAATTTTCCCAGGAAGAAGAAAAATAATAATAACTAGAGCAAAGCTCGTTGCAAAGCAACGAGTGGGTCTTCCTTCCAAGCGATCAGCAAAAGATTAAATGTTTCTGCCTAGATTGTCAACTTTGCTAACATTCTCTTTTTCGATTTGTCTCAAAAACCCTTACTTGAATTCTTTAATTTGGTGTGAGCATGAGGTCTAAAGGGTACTCTCTCTAACAGCATTCTTGAAATCGTATCCACAACAGTTAAACTTCCAATATTATGACTTTTGATATCGGATATATCATCTTTGTTACAATTATGTTTGTGAAACGTGTCATACTACAGAAACATAAGTGTTTTGCTACATTACCATCTTAAAAATGGCTTAAAAATCATTTAATATACAATATAACTAGGTAAATAAAATAAACAAATTTTTATATAATAAATCAAAAAATCCAAATGTATTTACAATAATGATGAACAATCTTCATTAGTTGCAATCAGTAAGTAGAACAATACTTTTATAATAAACGCACAGAAATGTGTTGTGTATATTTCGAATTTGCAGCTTTCCACTAGCAACTGGTGGTACCTCAATAGGAGTGTAAAATTCTCTGAAAGGTTTATTGTAAACATATTACATATGGCTGTGTATTCTTTTTTAGCGGCTTTTGTGGAATGCAGCAATCACTAAATCAAGTACAAAGCTAAAAGTTTTGTACATAAATATAAATAAGAATATCTACGCTAACTTATTCAAAAGTCAATTTCCACCAAATATTGTACATGCTAAATATAATACATTTACAGCATTAAAGAAAAAAATCTCTTTGAAAGTATTGCCCTGCATAAGAACAATTTGAATCCCCTACACTAAGGATGCTCTATGCCAAGTTTCACTTTGGTTCTGGAAAATGATATTGTGAAATTTTAGACAATGATGATAATGGATAAAATTATGTTTTTAAAAAATTTACTTGTTCCTTTAGCTCAGATGGGCTAATAAGTATGCAACAGGCACAGTTTTGCAGTTGAAATGTGACTGGACATCTCTTTAATCTTGTTTTAGAAAACTACATGTACATGCCCTATGTATTGAATTCCTTGGAATCATACACATGTATATGACTTTATTTAATTGTATGTGCCAAAATAATTTTTTTTTTACATTATACTGTAAAAATACACATACATGTATTACAAGATCTTATATTCCTGCTGAAGACAGAGGATCTATCTAAATCATTAGAATAAGTAAGTCTAAACTTTGAAAGGGAAGACCTTAATAAAGAGGTCAACATGCAACACAAACAAAATATTATTATATTTAAAAATAACATTTTGTCCAATGTAATTACTGGTACATGTATTTCTGTTACAAAAACTATTTCACTTGAAAAACTGAGAGCAATTGATATGCTCATATTTGTGGATTTATGTTGTCAAATCAAAATTTAAAAATGATACACAGTGTGTTTAAAAGTTGTCGTCACAAACCAAAACTTGACTTATTTTCACTATGCTGTTTATTCCATGTCACATCCAAACAGATGATCTTCTGGCAAATCACGGTCATGCTTGGTATCAAAATTCAGTATTCAGATGAGTCACACCTATCAAAAAGAAATTGAAATTTTTTAATTTATAATTCTTTTATCAATAAAACATGCAATTCATGAGATTATAAATTAGATTATAAAATTGAGTTCTAAGATATTGTCACATTTTCCCTGTATAATTTGTAAATTTTAATGTACTCTTTCATCAATTAAAAGAAGTTTACACCAATCAAGGCAGTCATTTATGCTATTCCCTAATAAGACAACATACAAGTGCAAAGTAATAATGCACTAGCGGGTCTAGGATAATGTGCTAGAGTATTTATGACAACATACTAGCACGAGGTGACAATGTGCTAGCATGTACGTCAGTGATAATATGCCAGCACACTGAATCCAACACGCAGTGAAGCTAACACTCAACAGATTGTTTAGAGTTGTGTTTGCATGATATTTTGTTTTGTGTTAACACAGCAGCCTGTTGTTTAAAGCTGCATTGGAGTGGCAGTCTGTTGAAATTAACATGCTAACACACTGCAACTTCACATCATTGGAACACCATAATTTTAATAACTGGCAAACCAATATCTTATGATTACTAACTAGGTAATTGCAACTGTAAATGCTGATTTCATGTTGACAATAATACCGGTAATTCACTGTATATCTGAGAACTGATCAATCATAATAAGGTGTGTCCAGATAGGGCCACTTGCTAAAGCTCAATAGCACTTTCATAAAAACGTGCCATCTTACTGACACAAAAGATGCCATTAGGCTATCACACAGCTCGCCATCACAACACTGAAAAACACTTTGGCACTAACACAAGTTTGCACCACACGCTGTCACACTAACACACAACACACTGTGACGCTAATACAATTTCACACAACAAAATATCAGGCTAACACAAGTTCACACAACACACTATCATGCTAACACGAATTCACAAACACGCTGTCTTGCTAACACAAGTTCACACAACACGCTGTCTGGCTAACACAAGTTTACACAACACACAGTCTCGCTAATATGAGTTCATACAACACACTGTCTAGCTAACACAAGTTCACACAACACACTGTCACGCTTAGATGAATTCACACAACACACTGTCACGCTAACATGAGTTTACATAACACGCAATCTCACTAACATGAAATTACACAATACACTGTCACGCTAACACGAGTTTACACAATACACTGTCACGCTAACACAAAGTCACAAAACAGGCTGTCTCACTATTCACTAACACAAGTTTGCACCAAACGCTGTTGCGATAACACACTGTCATCCTAAAACCATTTTCACACAACACACTGTCATCCTAATACCATTTCACACAACACACTGTCAGGCTAACACGAGTTCACACAACACACTGTCACGCTAACACAAATTCACAAAACAGGCTGTCTCACTATTCACTTACACAAGTTCGCACCAAACGCTGTTGCGATAACACACTGTCATCCTAATACCATTTCACACAACACACTGTAATCTTAATACCATTTTACAAAACACACTGTCAGGCTAACACGAGTTTACACAACACACTGTCACGCTAACACAAATTCAAAATACATGCAGTATCGCTAAAACGAGTTCACACAACACGCTGTCTCTCTAACACGAGTTTACATAACACACAGTCTCGCTAACAAGAGTTCACACAATATGCAATATCGCTAACACAAGTTCACACAACACACTGTCTCTCTAACACCAGTTCACACGACAAATTTTCAGGATAACACAAGTTCACACAACACACTGACACGCTAGCACAAATTCACACAACATGCTGTTCGTTAATAAGAGTTCACACTACACGCTGTCTCGATAACATGAGTTTACACAACACGCAGTCTCGCTAACCCGAGTTTACACAACACGCAGTCTCACTAACACAAGTTTACACAACACGAAGTCTCGCTAATACGAGTTCAATCAACACTCTGTCTAGCTAACACGAGTTTACACAACACACTGTCACACTTACACTTTATACACGATTTCACACAACACGCTGTCTCGCTTACACTAGTTTACGCAACAGCTAACAAGTATTCACACAACCCACTGTCAGACTAACACAATTTCATACAACACACTGTCTTGCTAACACAAGTTCACACAACACACTCACATTGCTGAGTTTAAAGTAAAGGTCTACCCTAATTTGAGGACGTTTAACACTATATGGTAACATATCTCTATATAATGCCCTGTTCACACGGAGAATTTAATTCGCAGTAAATTAATGCGAAGTAAACTAATGCGAATCAAACTAATGCGAATTAAATTGCGTTCACACGACAGCTAATGTGAAGTAAACTAATGCGAATTAAAATTTTACTTCGACAGTCAGGCGTGAGGAAGGCTATTATGACGTCATTTGCAAATCACGTCACCTTATGCAGAAGCAGATGCATTTGACATAATGTCACAGTGTCTGGAGACATATTTTAGTGATTAACACATTTTTTCTTAAATTTTCACACAAAAATAGCACAAGCACTTCAAGCTGACCACCGACATGACGCATTTTACTTAATTTTGCCATTACGCATGCCCCAAAATTTAATTCGAATTAGCTTCGCTTAGCGTTCACACAGAGCTAATGCGAAGTAATTTAATGCGCAGTAAACTAATGCGAAGTAAACTAATTCGCATTAAATTCTCCGTGTGAACGCTAAGCGAAGCTGATTCGCAGTAAACTTATGTTTAATTCGAATTAAACTCTCCGTGTGAACAGGGCATTAGTAAAGAGCTTCAAATTTAAGACAAAAACATTTATGCAGTAATGTTCCTTAACATGCATCCGGCATATAAAATGAATGAGACCTTAAAAACCTCACAGTACATGTTTACTTAAGTTAGCTAAGTAAAGGTCTATGTGATGCTATTCAACAGTATATATCAACATCTCTAAGTATGTGAATAAGTGAAATTCTCAAATAAATATTATCAATCAAAGTATCAATAAGAAATTGAACCTTACGTCTCAGGCTCCAATCCCATTGCTAAATGCTTTAGACAGGTTACTCCTATGAGACTGCATAAACCAAGATTCTGTGTCATGGTAGGTGTTAGCACAAAATGGATCTCATACTTCTTAAAGGCAATAAGTGCTAAGTACAAGTCTATATTTGCAGCTAATACCATCCCAAGTGGTGGCACCATGAAATGACTGAAAATGTATGATTAAGGCAAATAAACAAACATTAAACCATTACAGCAGTCTTATCAAACAAAAAAGCAAACTTTCTATTATTACAATTTTTTTTAAACAAATTTCTTTGGCAATTTAACTGAGCAATATTTGTCCTTTTTTGTCAGTAAAGTGTGATATTAAAAAAATTCAGACTTTTTGAAAACATCTATTTATAGCGAGTCCAGACAGCAGCACAAATCCCTGCCCATAATGCGAGCTCTTATGATAACACCTCGGCAAAAGAAGATTTGACTTGCACATTGCTCCACACAATTTTTCCACAGTATACTTTGGACCCACAGTGCTTAGCTTCTTTAACATGTTTAAGCTACATTCAAAATTCATTTCTATTTAATTTGAATTAGCTATCCTTAGTCATGTTCACATGGAGCTAATGGGAAGTAATTTAACGAGCAGTGAAATCATTCGAATTAAACATTTGAATAAACTCTCAGTGTGAACACTGTGCATGGATGCACCATTATGTCAAATGCGGCTTGACAAGCACAATCTAAATTAAAACTAAACTAGTGCTAATTGTAACGGGGACCGTTACAGATGTTCCCCAAACTCTCCCCATGTCCCTTATCGTGCCTTATTCCTCTAAGACCTTTTATAAATATGCTAAGTATCCCAAGATTTCATTTAAGAATATAAAAGTTACAATGATATCAATTATCAACGATATATTGTTTAACGTTTTGCATGCGCGCACACGTACATGTACATGCATATGCAAGATGATTATGGCATGTTGATTAAGCGATTAACATATCTTTCTATCCCGCGAATCAAAGAAAAAAATACATATATAAATTAACCATTTTTCAAGCATATGTCATATTTTTAATATATCGATTCACATTTTATTTCTCTACTTATTTTAACCTCGGGCTCAAAGTTGGTTTTATTCCGACGACAAGGCAGGGTTAAAGTCGACTAAGGGTATCACGCCAATACCTAACCAATCAAAATGAACTTATTCAATAGTAGTTCCATACATGGAAAAGGGATTTTCCTTTCTGTTCAGAATTTTTTAAATATTTCCTCTCAGGCCATTTTGACAACTCTGATACCTGTGCCTGGTAAATTTTATATACTTTGTAAATAAATATATAAAGGTTTTTTGACCGGAACTATTCATTTTTTCCAATGCATAGGGGGCTACTCTCTGGGTTTTACAAAAGATGTTTAAAAAGACATTCGTGTCAGCTAATGTGACCTATATTGTTTAACACCTTCTTATTAATATTTTTTTCATGAATGCAAATATCTGATTATTTTACGAAGGAGCGTACATGTATATTGATTTTTAAATATACCGAAAATCGCTATTTCTGGGGATTGCGTAATTCTAAAAAAAAATTCAAATAAATTTCAAAGGTAAATTAAACAAAGGATGCTTGGTATTAAAATATTATTTCAAATCAGTAGAATCGAATGCTATTAACGACATCTGAATAAATAGGCTATAAAAGGCTTATATGCCAACTTTGTAATTTTTTCTGTATAATTAATAATTTCTATATACTTTGGAAACTCATATGAAATATTTTAATACACTTTCCTCGAGCTCTTTTCTGCAGTTTTCCTGAAATTTTATGTGGGTCCGAGGTGTTATTTGAGTTTAACAGTGATTCTCTACGTTGCCATTAATTTGATTTGTTTGTGTGTGTGTGTGGGGGGGGGGGGTGGGGATGGGGGGTGTTATTTTTATTCTTAACCTATTTAACGTTGGAGTTGAATCTTGTATCTTATTCCAAGAACTTAAGATTGATTGTGACATTTGGATGAAAGGTCAAGGTCATTAAAAACCACCACCTCTTTAACTTCTAACCTGTCAACCGAAATAAACTCTGAAAGGTGTTTCTAGATACATGTACATGTACTTCATCTTTCTTTTTACCCTTGGGTCAAGGACAAAGGTTAAGGTCGATTTCAAGTTCATAGGTCAAGGTGATTTTGGTAAATAGTTAATATCAACATTTTATTCAGGTTACCAGTGACCTTGACCTAAGTTTCAAGGTCAAGGGTAAAAAGATCTGCATGCTTCAGTATGTTACATGTCTTGACATTTAGAAGTTCTTAATTCTGCATGAACATCAAACACTCAAGTATACTGTCTTTTAATACATTGTGTGCGGTCGCATGTGCATGCACGTCCATGTATTTACTTTTGATAGTAGTATAATGTAGGCAATCATTATATCTATTCATATTTGAAATCTCACCCTGTATTATTGAGAACCAAGAAAGTTGTAGGCATTTAAAGTTTTAGCCAATCAGATTGCAGCACACGTGCATGTGCGTGCGTTCATGATTATTCTTATATATCATGCTGTAGATCTTCATAATGTAAGACTATGTTCAAAATTTCAAAGGATTTTGTCAGAAAACAAAATAGTTATATAGACTTTAAGTTTCAGCCAATCGCAGCGAAGGGCACCTGCATGCGCGTGAAATCTTGCTATTTTGACCACGTCATCATGTCTATACTACTATTTTATCCTTTTATTATGAGTTTCAAAGCATTTCATCCAATATTTAAAAAGTTACGGCTAAATCTATTATATTGGTCATTTCACGTGTTACACGTGCGCGCACCTGCACGCACGTGCGCGCAAAATGACCTTCGTTCCGCACATCTACATAACATACCTAGTGACCCTAAAAAGGTTTCACCTAGATCGGATGAGTAGTTTACGAGAACACTCGCGGACAAAAAAAGTACCGGAGAACAAAGGAAAAATTCAGAAAAAGTAAAAACAATATGTTCCCAAACTTCGTTTGGGGAACATAATAAGTATCTGCCTTCACCCTAACAGTCACACTGTCAATATATAATTAGTTGAATATATTCTGTAACACTAAGTGCAGTTTGAATTATAGGGTATGATCACTATGATAGATAGTAGGACTGTTGTGTTGGAATTTTTGCATTTTTGGTTTTGAAAGTAACAGTGACTGAGTGAGTAAGACTTGTTGAAATTACATTCTCAAATTAAAAAAAAAGTATAATATAAAGCTGTGGGGATTTACAAGCCAAACAGGGAGCGTCTGAACTGTAAAACAGATAATATATCGGTGTGTCTGTGTATTTCTAATAATATCAATGTATGTCACTGTCATGTATTTTAAGTAATAAAAAAGTATTCTAACCTTCATTCCAATGGTCCAAGCCAATCATACATTAAAATGTCGCCGTCAGCTCTTTCATCACTCGATGCAATTATCACTAGGAAATCCCAAGCAGAGTCAAGAGTGCTCATCCTTGTTAATGTGACAGTTGGAATTTCCTCGTAAACAATTCACACAAGTTTCTTAGAATATATGAATCTGAATAATTCTGCTTAGAATAATGTTCCAGAGGAGTGACAAAGTACTTCGTAGCTGCAGATTAAATGAGTGTGCATGTCTACATACGTATTCTTTGGTGAGAAAACGTTCAACTTCACAAATCATTCTATTTTCAGTTTGTAAACATGTGTCCGACATCGACTCGAAGGGGCACACTAAAAACGGGATATACTAGAGACCTGATATTTACCTGACGTTTTAATTTTTTAATAAAATGGTAATATTGAGTATTTCAACTTACTTATATACAGACTTTATGACTTCGAGGCATATGCTATACAAAAATTCAATTGTTTGGAACATTCACAGACAAATTTGAATCAGGTCAAATCAGTGTTTAGTACATCGCGTCTTTAGTACCTTCCTATTTCCCACAATGCCGCGCGTTGTTTACAAACAAAAATCCTCTAAACTAGGTACTAATTATTGTTGTGTACATCATCACATTTTAAAATTATTTGAATAAAAAGAAAACAAAGAAACACCGAATCAAAACTATATCTTTTAGATGCATCAACTAAAAATGTGCACATGCAGTAAAGGCTTGGCTGGCTATAGTAGACAACTTGTTCCTGAAAGGTTTCTCACATACTTGTTTTATATAAAAAACAATTAAATATAGCTGGAAGTTTATTTCTTTTTATATCAAATGACAAGATTTAATAAGTTCGAAATTATTTCAGTCAAACTTTTTCATAATATACCAATATTTTAGCTATCAGAAAAAAACGTGTATGAGCTATTAACCCCCTAATTATAGGGGCCAGCCCCTTTTAATTAATCTAATATGAAAGCTCTCGTAATTACACACAACTTTTGTTATATATTTCTTACCAAATTATTCTCGGTTCAAAAGTTATTACACAAAAAGTAGCAAAAATTCAAGAAAAAAAATTACTAAAATTTGCCGTTTTATAGCTTCCAAACTTTAGGAAATCAGCTTATAATTTTATCGTTCTGCACATCTACAATGTATTGGCTACAAGTTCTCCAACTTTCGTGTAAATATCTTACGTCGTTCTTGAGATTTTTAGTGGAAACGAGACATCAAAATTTTCAATTAAAGGGCAATAACTCACAATTAAAGGCATGCATCAAAAAATTGAAAACAGGTGTAAATAGGTTTAATTACAAGGTATCTAACCAGAAAGTTTCATAAAAATCAGTCCAAAGGTCTTTGAGAAATCGCCTGTCAAAAATCGAGCGGGAAAAAAAAAATAAAATAATAATAAGAAACAGTAGAATAACAGTAGGGTCTTCCGAAGGAAGCGGAAGACCCTAACTAGTGCTAATTGTAACGGGAACCGTTACAGATGTTCCCCAAACGCTCCCCAACTCCCTTTCGGTGCCATATTCCCTGTAAGCTTCATTAAATAAGACAAACTCTGTGCATTTTTGACTTTAACAATGTTTTCCCAGAAGGATACCAATTATATTCAATTTTTAGCATTGCACCCAAGCACATGTGAATGCATGTGCGTTATGACCATATCATCTTGTCTACACTATTTATATATTTTAATATACTATATATTAAAGCATTCAGTCCAAAAGTTATAAAAATCACTCATTCAAGAATATTTTTAAATATACTCGTTTCAAATACACGCACATGCGTGCACGTGCATGTTGACCATATCTTCTTGTAGGAGTCCCTTACATCTATCAATGTTCTAAATCCCATCCTGTTTGGTTGAAAAACAAGGGAGTAATAGCCATTTAAAGTTTCAGCCAATCAGATTGCAGCACACGTGCATGCGCGTAATTTCATGATTTTTTTTATATCATTTTGTAGGATATCCTAATGCATGACTATATTTTAAATTTCAAAGAATTTCGTCAAAAAACAAAGGAGAAATAACCATTTAAAGTTTCAGCCAATCAGCTTGCAGCACACGTGCATGCGCGTGATTTCATGATTTTTTTTCTATATCATTTTGTAGGATTTCCTAATGCATGACTATATTTTAAATTTCAAAGAATTTCGTCAAAAACAAAGGAGAAATAGCCATTTAAAGTTTTAGCCAATCAGATTGCAGCACACGTGCATGCGCGTGATTTCATGATTTTTTTCTATATCATGTTGTAGGATATCCTAATGCATGAATATATTTTAAATTTCAAAGAATTTCGTCAAAAATCAAAGGAGATATTGCCATTTAAAGTTTCAGCCAATCAGCTTGCAGCACGCACACATGCGCATGCTTTCATGAAAATTTTTATTTATCATGCGGTAGATCTTCATAATGTAGGACTATGTTCAAAATTTCAAAGAATTATGACAAGAAACAAGAAAGTTATTGAGACTTTAGTTTCAGCCAATCAGAGCGAAGCGCACGTGCATGCGCGTGAGATCTTGCTATTTTGACCATGCTATCTTGTCTATACTACTAATGTATCCTTACATTATGAGTTTCAAAAAATTTCATCAAAAAATAGAAAAGTTACAGCAATATCCATTATATTGGTAATTTCACCTGTTGCACGTGCGCGCTCTTGCAAGCACGTGCGCGCAAAATGACCTTTGTTTGGCAACTCTACATAACATGCCTACTTACCCTAAAAAGGTTTCACCTAAGTCGGATGTGTAGTTTACAAGATCACTCGTGGACAAAATTTTCCCAGGAAGAAGAAAAATAATAAGAATAATAATAATAAGACACAGAGTAAAAACAATATGTTCCCCAACTTCGTTTGGGGAACATAATAAGAAACAGAGTAAAAACAATATGTTCCCCAACTTCGTTTGGGGAACATAATAAGTACAACAACCTCAACTTCAGCTGATATTCAAAGATGGCACAGAAACAGTCAAAATCTTTATGACATTTATCAACATCAAAACCAAGAAAACAACGCAGTAATTTATAACTTTTTCTATTCTTTATTATTATATATTCATTTATTTTTTTAATTATATATTTTTTTAAATTAATCTTCAAAAAATCTCTGATAAGATCTGAAGAGAGGGAGATGAAAAAAAAAAAACAACCGTCCTTAAGAGGAAGAAAATGTGGACAAAGATCAGGTGACCTTCTTTCCCTGTAATCAGAAGAGACCGACCTACTTTGTTTATTTTTCATGTTAAAAGTTCATTAATGTACAGGATCTTAACATCCTACCCCCCCCCCCCCCAAAAAAAAAGACCTGACATTAATTTTTAAATCTATTCCTCTGCATTTGTGATTCTAATTTACATCACCTTCTGGTTTGCCTGTTTTTATCATGTCTTATTACTTTCAATGTCTGTCTGACAATTTTCTTTCTTTCTTAGAAACCAAAGACATGAATGAGTCAGGGCAAAAAAATTCAGAAGACGGAAACCAGTAAAACTAAAAACAACAGACAATGAAGAAGAAAGGCAAAAAAAAAAACAGGACACAAGCACTGAAACAATCCAAATCAAGAAATATCAAGCAGCTAAAAAAAAATTGCCAAATCGTAACAGAAGCAAATCTTAGAACCTGCTGAATACGCAAGAGCATGCTCTACGTGTGAACAATTTCTTAAACGAGGTAAATTATTGACAAGCAATTTGATGAAACAAGAATATCAACAGTCTCGTTTAAAGTCATCATTTCGTATAAATTCTATGGTCGATACAATGACCTTGTCAGCAAATACAATTTATCATTGAATGAAATGCTGACTGACGTTTTTCATACCAATTGTTAGTCCATTATTTATACACTGAATTGACCACGGATTTTTTCCGTTATTTCCTGATTATGACAACGAGCACACGGCGGGTGTGACCGGTCGGCAGGGGATGCTCACTCCTCCATGGCACCTGATCCCACCTCTGATGTTTCGGAGGTCCGTGTTTGCTCTGCTCTTATTTTGTATATTTGTTTAATGGACGTTGAGATTGAATACTGTTCGTTATTTCCATATCCTTCTGAAGCACTTTTTATCATAAAACCTAAACTATCGAAAGTATCCAAAACGCTCACAGAACATCATGAGCAGGGAGAAGTCGAGTTTCTTACCCCTGGAAAGTACAGTTACAGTTTTATTAAAAGAGGAAACTCAGGGAGTCTCTCTGTCCAACAAGCTGAAGAATTCGGCAGTATTAAGATCTGTACTGAGGGGACAGAGGGGGTTCAGACACTCCCACACGTTCAGCAAGAGTAAGTGTCTTACAATTAAATGTTACTTGTGCATGTAGTGTAATGTATGACAGAGAGCATTTGATGAGGTCAAATCATTATAAATACATACGTTAACACAGTTAAATGAAAGGAATTTCATTTATATATTTATTGATTTCCTATAGAAAACAACCTGCATTGAAAAGGCGCTTGTTCCCTGGTGATAAACAAAAGACGTAAAAATCAAGAGGAAGGGGTACGAGAGGAAAGAAGGGACCCCAAGGGCATCCACATTGTCATGCCAATGTAATCACAAGTTTAACTTCTCAAAAAGTGAAACATTTATATTACAGATGTGCAGTATTTTTAAAACAACATTCTTACATTAATTTTATGATATAGTGTGTCCGACTCAAGCTCATCTAGCATATCTACATCTAGTTAGGAGACAAGGGTGTTGCTAAAATGCGGAACGGAACGGAAAACGGAATATATTATTTTGGATTAAATCACTTAAAATACACACATTTTACCATAAACGATATATATTGTACACACAACCCCTACTATTAAATACAAGTTGATTTTGTCATGCTCAGTCTCTTATTTACAAAAGTCGCTAACATAGCAGTCACATAGAATCAAATTTGAAAAGGGGGGTGAGGGTGGTAAACGAACTTGAAAAGTATTTGACAAGCAATAAACACAAAAAGAAGACAATTGTTTGATTCGGGAGAGGAGATAAAACACAAAAAGAAAACAATTGTTTGATTCGGGAGGGGGGATAAGTTCCAACTCCCAACATCTATCAGTATTATTTTTTTAACACTAACTTACTACATTTATGAATGCGGGTGGTTTCGCTCCGATTACGTGTTCGCGCCGAGTGGTTTCGCGCCGATCACTTGTTCGCGCCGAGTGGATTCGCCCCTATTGGTTTCTACTGTATTACTGAAGATACCGCTTATCGAATTAGTCATTTGATTAATATATATATTAAAATATTATAAAGAAGTGGTAATTGCAATGAAATGGGAAGTCTAATAAAGAATAATCGCCAT